ATCACTGTGGGTATCCGAGTCTACACCCGACTAATCCCACAGCGTTCCAGCAGAGCGGGTCTGACCGATGCTGAAGAAGGTAACAACTGGGTTGCTGTCCGGAATCGAACTCAGGTGAAACTCACCTAAGGAGGCTACTTCCACCAGCAGACCAACCCAGCGCAGGCTTGCCGTTTTACTTTATAGATAACTTCCATATTTACAAGTAACTTTGAAGACATATGATTTAAAGCTAAAATTGACAAGATAAATTAGATCTATTTTATACCCGGAAACAGAAAGCTCAATTCAACCTATCTAACTAAAACAGGCAGAGAAAAGGAAAAAGAAAAAAACTAAAACAGGAAGAGAGTAATTGCATTTACAAAATTATTTTTCCAAGGTGCTAACAAAAGGTTGAGTCAGTCATGTTATATATGTGCTTACAGAAGTGGAATAGAAAATTAAGTTGAGTCTTTGACCAAATTACCACAAACTCATGGAAGACAATTTTTTTTTTTTGTAATATATTAGATTTGAATCCCTTTTAGAAGAATGTCTATTCAATACCTCTCGGTAATGTAATTTGAGGTACTAGAGCCAAATATAGGTTTTTTTTTTTTGGTTTTGTTTTGAGCCAAATAGAGCTTGAATGATTCTTTCTAGCTGAACAAGAAGCCAGTATTTCAATATTTTGCTTTTTGTTTTTCGTCTTCCTCCTTCTCCTATTAAAACATGTCTCAAGTTTTTGAATAACTGCCTTGAGTTATTGTTTTTCCAACAAATGTCATATTTCTTTACCTTTCACTCCACCTAGTCACCAAATATTATCGATCCATAAAATGACTTTCTACTATTCTTTTGAAAAAATTATAAAATTGGAACACAAAATGTGGAGCGGAAATGAAGAGTATAATATTCATCTTTTGGGTACTTTAAAGAAATGTCAATCAAGGAAAAAAAAAAAAAAAGAGAAATGTCAATGCATAATGATTTGAAACTATATAATACAATGATGATCAAAGCTTTTTGGTCAACGTCCAGTAGTGTAATAGAAATGAATACCCAAAAAAAAAAAAACTTAACAATATCTATAATTGACTTATAAAAATGTAAAATTGTCGATTGATTTCACTTGACTTGATATTCGATTTTAATGTGGGTTTATCCAACTTAAAATTAATTTTAGGGATGGATATGCCCATAAAGGGCCGGGCACATTATTAATTAATCCTTCATTTTGTTACTTGTTAGGACTCGAGTATTACCTTGCAATTTACAAGATTAGCACGTAGCAATGGGTTTTATGGCTCTCGGCGATGTTTGATCATGAGCTCCACTTTCTGAAGTTATGTGTCCTGATTTCCCAAGTCAAACTCAAAACCGGGAATTATTTTAATTTTCACTTTGTCAACCCCAAAGAAGGAATTCAGAGGTACACGGGCCCACTTTATCTTCACAATTGGGAAAGGTGATTAAATTTAGAGGTATAATTAACAATTGTGATTTTGTGCATTTGTGTTTGGATAGTAGATTATTTGAAATAATTACGTACTATACTTTTTCTAACGTGATGTAGCATGTGCGGTAAAAAAAGGTGTTTGGAAAGATGAGCACATGATGGAAAAAAAAAAAACGTATTTATGATGCAAACAAATAACATTTGCGAAAAATTTCTATCCAAACATATACATTTGCATGCAATATCTCAAGAAATCTCAATACTAGGAGAATGGCTGAATTGAGCAGTAAAAAAAACAGAGAGAATTATAAGCAGAAGGTTCTAATTTCAAAACTTCTCGCTTACACGAAATAAAATGAAATAGATGCTACTGACTGTATATCATTACCAAATATGGAATGCGGAGGTGACTTGGGAAAGCACTACTATTCTTCTTAACTAATTTAAGAAAAACACTACTACTATAGGGAGAGCGGCATCAAATTCAGTTCACACTTGATAATCCAAACCTATGAAATGTAATGTAGGAGTGTTAAAGTCTCATTAATGTTGGCTCAAGAAAGTAAACTCGACAGCCCTACAAGGCGAAGCTGTACTCATGCCTAAGCTTTAGCTGTCAATTACTATATCTTTCTTATCCTAAGCCTATCTTGGACTGAATTCCAGCCTGCAGCATTCAAAGTAAAGTACGTATTTCCTCGGATCCTCTATTCACAATATCAGCACTCCAATCAATCATCTTCCAATTAGCAGTGTATGCAAACCATAATTGCAATCTCTAGCCAACCATTTAAACAAATCCCTTGTCTCGGACGGCATCTTGAAAGGACTCATTAAGTGAGGTAAAAGCCTCGAGGCGTTGTGGGTGCATATGCCTCGCAAGTTTATAAAAAAAAAAAAAAAAAAAAAAAAAAAAAAAAAGATTGATAATATTAAAAGTATATCTTATAATATGCTGTATAATTTAACTATCAAGTAAATTATTGTGTTAAATTAACGGTTATCTTGACGAGAAATATGAAATTAGTTGAAGAAATTATAGAAGCTTTATATAATTTAGGGCTCAATTATAGTTTTACAAAAGGTGAAATGACAATAAGCTATAATAAAATAGGGAAAATTAAGTTTAGAAATTGAAAAAAGTTTGAGGGTGTATAGCCAAAATATGTTACACCCAATCTCTATCTTGTTGTCCTTCTTGCCACATTTGTCCCTTTCAAATTTTTATTTTTTTTTATCTCACATCAGAATTTGTAATTATCAAAGGCGATAATCGCTCATTGTGAGCCCTAACCAACACAATTTTACCATATGTGTGCCTTGGGGGCTCTCCTCAATTTAGCATTTTAAAACATTAGTCTCAAAGCATGCACTACCTAGAGAATTATAAAAAAAAAAAAAAAAATTTCAGCTGAGGCCATTTGTATAATATTCGAATGGGGTGACAAGAATCATAAGTTATGGGTGTATAATGTTTAATAATCCTAAGAATGCAGATGCTAATGCAGTGTTTTAACAAGACGAAATGGTGGTAAAGAACTTGAAAAATCAGAGCCTAATGAGGAATTGGAATTTTTTGCCAATCGAACATTAATTTACACATAATTACTTTTTTAAAACACTTTAGAGTGATACATTATATACAGTTAGAATTTGAGGAGCACAATTGGATTTGGAAGGCGGCTAGCTGGCTTGCCTGTCTAAAACAAAAGGCAAACAGGTATATTTGAGCCCACCTGGGGAACTAGAAACAGGTATAGGTACAGCTTAAAAAGATTTCTGAATTCATCACTTATTTTAATCTCTTTAAATAAGCTCAAGGAGCACTCCTCTCCACGTAGGAATTGATTCACGAAGTGCACAAAAATTCTAGAATATGATGGGAGAAGGAACCATCAGATCTGATTCCAGCATTCCTCGAGACAGATATTCTGTACAAACATACGCATAGGGGCAAAGGTGAGACAAGAGAATTTGACCTTCAAGAGTGTACCTTGGCTGCTCTTTTTTCAAACCTTTTTTTTTTTTTCCAATTTGCAATTATTGTACGTGATGGGTAAAATTAATGTATCCATAACTGCTAGGATTGAAAAAATTATTAGCATATATTCATAACTACTGGCGTTAAAAATATTACTATACTGTCAATGTATACAAAGTTAATCTTTTGCTTGCTTTATTGAGGGAAATATAATTACGTGGCTAAATCATCACCAATTTATACTAATCCAATCTAAATAAGTTGGTTGTCGACAATATTAGTCGGAAATCTTCCCTTTTCCTTCGAGGGGAGGGGATGTATTAATTAACAATACGAATAAAGGCAGACTGTTTCAATTTTTTTTTAAAAAAAAAAAGCTCAAATGGGATATCCTCCTAAAAAAATCTTTTGGCAAAAAATCAAATCATTAACAGGGTTTGCAAATTCTGGGAACTATAAAGTGTTGAGGTTTTTGTGACATATTCCTCCTATTCGGAAACCGAAATGGTTTCAAAATATCCCTTAAATGTATTGAAACTTTAAAATTCTAAGTGTTCATCTTTGCCTCTGTCACACAATCAAACCGAGCTTGAACTTCTTGTCATTTGTCTATTAATTCTGTTATTCTCAGTTTCTGTGAAAAGAAGGCTCGCCTTGGAGAAATTCATTTTTCATATATATGTCAGGAATTAATTAAATAACTTCAAAAGTCTGAAAATATATATATATATATATATATACCAGGAATGAGGAAGAAAAGCGTCGGAAATTGAGAAAACAACGGTCAAAATCACCTTTTTTTTGGCCCATACTTTTGTACAAAAACAAATACGGAACATGTGGTGGCAGAAAAATGATGGTCCTATAGTCCTTGCTGGCTGCTGTTTTTATTTCAGCAGGTCATAAATGTTTCTCTTTTTAAAAGAGAAAATATCCATAGCTTCTCCAAGCATAGGTTGAATAGTGAACAAGAAAATCCATGAACTGTTACCATAAGTAGAAAAAGAGAATCAATATCACACAGTTCCATAATTGAACACGTTGCTATCTGCCAGGTAGCAATTTGCTCAAGCTGAATAAAGAAACTAGGGTTTTGAGATGTTGAAAAAAACCTATGCAAAAAATGGAAACTAGGAATGGCAAGAAGGAAGAACAAAGGTCAGTGGGGGATCCCTTCATAATCAGCTTCTTTTAGGATAATTTTCTAAAAGGCTTACTGAGTAAAGTTCCTCTTTCTGCTTTTTCATGATTGTGTTACTGTACAATGTCTTGATGCTAGGACCATGGGCCTCTATAATTGTAGGTCTAATTGTATCCTGCCATGAAATGTACATCTCAAAAGAAGTTTTAGCCAAATTTGGAGGGCAAAATCCCTAAACATAAATTAGAGATCACTTGGACTTTACCAAAAATGAGTCTGCATCCAGCACCTGCAAATTCTTTAGCGAAAGCAATCATCTCATCTACCCTCAGTTCCCCAGTCCCTTTGTCCCAAAAGAAAAAAAAGGCAAAAAAAAAAAAAAACGAAAGAAAGAGAGAAAGAGGGAGGTGTTAATGTGTGTGCAACAACCATTCAAAGGAATTTATGACATTTTCTCTTTGGCTTCTAACACTGTACAGTTAGATTCATTGAAGAGGTTACAGAAGCAAGCAGACAAGGAGAGAGAGAGAGAGAGAGAGAGAGAGAGAGGGAGACAGAGAGATTATTTTCAGCCCTCCAAGAAAAAGTAGGATGAGCTAAAATTCATCACACATGTACAAACAACACCAGCACACAACAAAAATTAATCAACAACAAGCCCACCCACATATGAAAAATTCACCAATATCCCATCCCATCCCATCACTAACTATCTAACTAATAATAATTCCACAACAAAGACTCAAAGCCGCTCGAAAATCCACCTTGATCATCTTGATCATCATGACCATTCCTGCTCATCATCCACAGCTGCTGATCAGGAGGAGGATACAGCCATCCATCTACCGAATCAGAATATGCAAAATCATCATTCCTCAGCTCCATTGATGTCTCGTTAAAACTCATCGTCCCTAGACTTGGCAACTCCACAATTTCGCTCAATTCCTCTGAGGTGGTTGACAAGTCTATAGCCGAGACTAGTGATGATAATGACGACGACGACGACAAGGTCAATGACGCGGCCGTTCTTCCATTCGACGACGATGGTGACGTGGACGACGTGGATGACGATGAAGATGATAGAGAATCAAACTTTTCCATAGCTGCAGCTTTCGCTGCTGCCGCCTGGACATCTCGTGGGCTGAGCGATGCTGGCCGCGGGAGCGACCCCGCCAGTTCTGGAAAATTCAATATTGCAGACGTGCCTTTAATGCTTAAGGCCGCCACGTCGTGCGCCCGGGCAGCCATTTCTGGCGAAGGAAAAGTCCCCAGCCAAATGCGGGATTTTTTCCGGGGCTCACGAATTTCGGATACCCATTTGCCCCAGTTTCTCATTCTCACCCCGCGGTAGAGTGGATGCTTGCTGCTATCTCTGATTCTCTTGATTTTCTTGGACTCTGCATCCTGATTGTTGCTGTTGTTTGATTGGTTTTGTGATGTTTTTAAGGCTGTGTTTGGCGATAATGGGGAGGTTGGGGATGATGAGAATGAAAATATTGAGTTAGAACTGCTCTCAGGTTCTAAACTCTGAAGTTGATCAGTAGTCATAGTCAAACAAATCATCAAAGTTTTTTTTGCTTTTCTATAATTCTGTATAGCCAGAAGACAGTAGCAAGTGCATGTAAATATGCAAAATTAGGAAAGGGAGAGTGGAAGTAGTTGTAGTAGTAGTACTAAAGACAAAGAAAAATTGAGGAAATGATCAAGATGGATGTTTTCAGGATTGCGTGAAGACTTGTAGCAGAGAAAAGGGAAGGAACATATATAGAAATGCAATGAGGTAATGAAGACCTTTTTTTTCCATCATTTCCCAATGACTCATACCACACTTATAAGGGGAAAGAGATGGGGGTCAGAGAGTGAATAGAGGTTGGAGGAGAGAAAGGAGTATCTGGTGTTGGGTAGAGGGATAGGTGATGGAAGGGAGAGGCCGGGGGGGGGGGGGGGGTTGGGGTATGGGGCCCCAATGAAGAAATGGGTTACCTTGCTAGACCCTATGAAGTATGATGCACTGGGGTCCCTTCTCTGGTACCACGCAACCCTTACTGATTTTATCATCTATTTGATATCTTTCTGGTTTCACCTATATTTCACTGTACATTTATCCCCTTATGTATCATTTTCAAAACTGTAGTCATATGTGTAAGTGTCCTTATTTATAGTCCTCTCCTAGCATGTCCATCTGTACCCTTGTGTGTGAGTATGTGTATGGACGATTGATCAGTTGATGTTGCCTTTCTTCACATGTATGATTGCATGGATTTGATTAGGAAGATAGGTTAGTTAAAAAAAATTACACAATCATGTTAGCTAGTATAATTAACTGTTAACAAGGAATGTTGTGCTACTAGGCCGGAAAAAAAAAAGGGCTACAATTCTCAATCTAGGGAGTGTAAAAAATTGGAAGGATAAAAAATCTCAACTGCCACTAAATTATTGATCGGATAATATTTTAACCATGAAATTATTTTTCGTCAATAATTGGCTACTAAACAACATGATCAGTAAACATGTGACCATTTGATCGATAATTGCTTTTAATTTGTGAAATTAGCAGTTAATCTATGAAATAGGATCGCATAGTTACTGGACAAAATTGCCCCCGCACTTTGCCACGTGTATTTATAATTTTACATATTAAGAGCAATTATCGACTAAATGGTCACAGGTTTACTGATTAAGTTGTTTAGTGGCCAATTACTGATGAAAATAGTTTGATGGCCAAAACATGATTCGACCAATAGTTTAATGGCCGCTGAAATTTTTGGCCCAAATTAGAATCACTACTGCAACACTAGTACAATGGAACATGGTTGGTTGAATTGAATGTCTTTTTCTTTGCTATATAATTGTAGTATAATAAAGAGATATATCTTGATACCCAAGATTTTGCTAACCCTTGTTATTAATATCTCTTTTGGATCTTTGTATAGGTCGACCGAGTAATAATCTATTTTACTTATCACAGCAGTACTGTCATCATGCTTACAACACTACCAATCCTCCATTATAATAGTATTGGAGCGCCTTAGGCCATTAGCTAGGCTCAATTGTTGGGGAAAATGCATTGAGAAAGTTACCCCAAGAGTTTAAACAATGTGAATATTTTTTAATAACTTGTGGACAATGTTGAGTTGATCCCATTTGTAATCAAGAAGCAAAAGAAACAACTTGAAGATTTCAGCAAGGGGTCCATTCAAGAATTGTATATATATTTGTATGGGTCATTATGTTTTGGTACATATATCTTCATATGTGCAGGTGCCTCTTACACTATTTCTTTAATGAGTGCATACAAATATGTGACAAGATATCTTGTCATATTCACACCACAAAAGGAAAAACGGAAAAATATAAAAGTGTGATTTTTTTTTTTAAATTTCTCCTAAGAAAAAAACAGTGTTTCAATTGATGTATTGACGTGCCCAACACCCAAACAGGAAAAAACTTCAAAACCCCAAAAAAGAAAGCCAAAAAGAAAAATCTTAATTATGAGGTGCTGAAAATAACTACACAATATAAACTACCATATACTATATATCTCCAGCTGTTGGGGCCTGATCAAGCATGAAATTATTGGTTTACGGTTCCCTCTGCCCTATTTCTGCCGCTTAATGCTGATTAACAAAACATGAACTAGAAAAAAAAATATTAACTTGTCAATTTGGCTTCCCTCAAACCTTATTGTACATTTACTATAACCAATTACTTTTATTTCTGTCCTAGTGTAGTAATCGAAAGAAAAATATGAATAATAAATTAACAGCCAATGACATTTCACGTAACAAATGGAAAATCAGAAGAATTCAAAATAACAAATTTTTTTTTTTAAAAAAAAGCAGTACCCGGTAAGAAAAATGATCTAATTGATCTATAAACTATTACCTCGTTCATTGATTTCTTTGTGGGTCAAGTTACTTGAGCAGTAAATTCACCTAGGTCAGGCAAACAAATGAGCTAAAATCATGTAAAAAAGAAAAATGAATGGTAGAGGTTGACCTTAATAATTGGGAATGCCAATTATTTAGGGAAAACATTGTCCTGCTAGTGTTTTATCTGTTGATTCGTACACTCTCAGAAATCAATCATTGTAGCCGTACGATTTCAAAGGGTTCATTAGAGATTTAAGTCTTTCTTATTGAATCCCATAACAACTCCGTTTCCGAAAGCATCAATTCCCCTTGTCGTCATCGATTACACAGCATTTTCCACACAGTTAACGCTTCAGTCCAAAATATTAAGAAATTAACTTCATCACAGCAAGACATGCAAACACAAGAAATTAACAACAATTTGTTCTCTGATTAAGAGTGAAAAAAGAAAATAACCGGGTCCCGATTGGTGTGTTTTCAGAACTAGGGATTGTTCTTGGTTTGGTAGTAGTTTGCATTTATCCGATGCCTCTTTAAGTTTTGAGTCCCCATGCAATAGTCACATCCAAGAAGGGGTCCCTAAATAACTTAAGTTTTTGTGTGGCTCAAATCCTCAACCCTTTGACCAATTCACTCTTGCCTTCTCCAAAAAGATGTCACGTATCACAACTCAGAAATTAATTTCTATAGTATGGTTTAATTGAAGTTCAGTTAATGTACTTACCCGCCGTTTCTTGTTTATCCATATTCATCATTCTGTGTAGTTTATCATAAGGCTGTAATCGAGTCGAGTCGAACTCGAGTATCGCCATACTCGAGCTCGAAGCTTGCTCGCAATACTCGAGCTCGACTCGTATGGGCTCGAGTCAATTGAGCCTTATCGAGCTCGGTCGATCTCGAGTTACTAAATTTTATTTTTTTGATAATTTTTGTGCGAAAAGACATTATTGTCCTTTTAAAATTTTTATACGATTTGAAAAATTTTGTAAATTCAACAACTCTTTTGGGTATAAGAGTAATTTTATAATAATATATTAAATAATTAAAATTAAAAAGCTCGATTAGACTCGACAAGCCTTCGAGCATCGCTTTTGGATGCTCGAACTCGACTCGTTTAGCTTATCGAGCCGCTTGAGCTCGACTCGAACTCGGTCAACCCGAGTTCGAGTCAAGCTTTTGACCGAGCTGCTCGCGAGCAGTTCGGCTTGATTACATCCCTAGTTTATCAGAGCAGTGTTGGCGGACATATCAATGATGAAATTGAAGGAAATTACTATAATGTCCTGAACTCCCGGGCTAGCCCAACAACCATTGAGCGAAATCACGGGTTTAAAATGATTAATTCAAACTTTTAGTCGTCCATGTATGATCATATATAATTTCATTCCACCCCAAACTTTCCCCAAGTGTGGGACAATTGTGGGTGTTACAATTAATACATTACTGGCTCCTATGAGAATGGATTGAATCTCATAGAGAAGAATTTAATGGTACTGCATAAATTTTCTAATGCATCGTTTTCCTGCATATGAATGTTCATTGCCCAAATGAGGATCAACTAGATTTATAGCATTCCATCTTCTTTTTGCTGCATAATCTGTTGATTTATGAGTTATGAAATTTTAGTTTAAAAAGTAAATATGACCAGAAAATATTTCAGAATAAATAATGAAAGGGTAAATAAAACATTGGAAGAAAGGATGGCAAAGGAAAAAGAGTTCTTGAATGGGATGGATGTTAAGAGAGAATAAAAGCAAAATATCTTTTACACAGTATAGGGCACTTAACAGGGTAAAATGCTCTTTGTCCCTTTGAAGTTTAAGGTCTCTTAACTTCTTTAATTACATAAATGATATAAAATTTGTTTGAATTATTCAACAGTATTGCACTCAAAGTCAAGGTAAAACCACCTACCTATACCAAAATTAAGGTAAAATTCACTGAAACATTTGAAATCTGTTGGCACAATTTTGTTTCACTTGAGGGATTTGTGCCTGTATTTGCTTATACCCTTTGGCTGCAGTACTGTACAGATTGCTTGTTCACTTTATCTTGATTTTATGCTTAAAGCATGCTAGGAGATGTTGTGTGTTCCACAGTTGTTGAATCATTGGAGTACCTATTTTATTAATGTCTTTCTTATGGAGACAAGTCATCCAGTTTTTAAGTCTCCTATGCAGCGGATATCCAAATCCTTAAAAGATAAATTGTGTAAACTTGCTTTAGCAGTCACTAAGTGTGATGTTGGCAATTAAGGTTCTCTGTTAAAAGAGAAGAGAAAAAATGTAAGAAGGATCGAATTGGAGTTGAGCATTGGCTGAGAATTGAGTCTAGAGACTTACAATCTGCAAGATTTGGTATATCCAAGCATTAGTCTTTTTCCTTGTGTAGCCTGTTATTTTGAGGTTGTCGCATTATTCGTATTGAGTACTTTGGCCTCTTCAACTCATCTTCTTGCTCCAATGACACGAGACTTCAGAAAGTACGACATAGATGCTTAAAGTTTTAAACAATTTATCAAAAAAAAAAAAAAAGAAAAGAAGTAAGAATAAATAGGCATTATATGTGTTATCGTGTAGCATATGAAATATGTCCAAGTTACGTGTTACCCTCAAGGGACAAACTTGCATTCGAGTCTCGAGACTCTTAATATAGCTGCGCAATCCCAAGGGCAAAAGCAGGTGATGGTCAGACACAGATCATTCTATGATCACTCAAGCCCTTGCTCCAGCCTGGTCAATGCTATCTGCTGTAGATGCATTTAAGTTGTCTCTAATTTTACAGGTCCAAATCAGAAGTTAAGTTGTACCATCTGTACCCAGATACCTTTTGAAAGGAAAAGGAATATCAGTAAGATCAGGTAATGGACACAGAATCCGGAAACGAATTTACAAAATCTGCACAGCACTTTGTAGTCTTGAAGCAAATTATTCACAGAACTGAGTCACGTTGACTAGTTATTCCTGCCTGAATCGATCAGTAGATAAGTTGGCACTTCTGTTACATAAAAGAAA